TGCAAAATTTTGTAATATAATATAATTTATTTACGTTGAACGCGAATTTAAATTTCATTGAAGAGTTGAGAACCAGAGTTTTTCACTTACGTGATATTTAAGGGTTTTGATATTCGATACTTGTTGGAACTGCAAAAAGTGAAAAATCTGGAGAAAAATGCGCAAACTTCTCTCACAGCAGCTCTTTTCAAAAGTTCTTATGCTTCTATACCATCTTCTATAGTAAAAGATAGAGCAAGCTCCGTGAATTTTTAAGCATGTCCACCGAAAGTTCCATCACGAGAACTGTTAATGGCCAAGGGGCGGTGACTTAATTACAGGCTACTTCGATGAACGGACTCAATCAAAGCGTTCAAGGCAGTTCGCCGAGCGGAATTACTACGAGCAGCGTCGTGATGCCTTCGGAATACGGCTATTACCTATTAAGAGAGAGCATCGTACTTGGGTCTCACTTTCCCCGTGATCATTTCGTTCACAAGTTATTTTGCAAGTTATTTTTATACAAAGTTATTTTGTTTCGCTCAAGGTGGTTTCGCAAGAGAAAAAAAACACAGAAAGATAATAAAATGTAAATAAAATCTTTAGGAAGTCTTCGCATGTTCAAACATGTATCTTTACATATCGCGAATCGCGCGCTCGCGTTCTCGACACGACCCAACGATTTCCGGGGAAGCAGCCGCGGTTCTCCCGGTTATCTCGGCTATTCCAAGGGAGAGACGACTCGCTCGATGTAGACATCGCCGCCGGTAACCCCGTTTATCGGAAGAACGCGAAGTCTGCCGAGTGTGCACAGGTGTGCAGGCGAAGCCGCGTCGGCGAAGTGGCGGCGGTCAATAGAGGACCCGACGCAGGACGAAATCGTGACGGAAATCGCCAGGGAAGCGGCTTCTTCGCCAGCAGAGCCCGCACAGCCGAGGAAGCTAGTAGTGTCCAAGTAGCGGAACGAGAAAACGCGGAAGGTGAGACGTAGCGAGCGAGAGGAAAAGAGAAGAGCGCGGCGGAGGTGACGCGGAGACGGCTAGACGGGGCTCTAACAAGTGGCTGCAGCTCGTAACGATCGCCCTCTGTGCCATGCACCAGCCACTCGTACTGCACGCCCTCCTAACCCAAGAGGATTAACCAACACGTACACGCTCGTGCCCGAGCCTGTGTTGGTATATACGCACACCGGCGCGCCGCCAGAAATATCGATAAACACGACACGAAGGTCGACCACGAGCGATCGGCATCCCTCCTCGCAGTCTCGAAATAACCTCCGTCTATTTCCTTTCCGTTCATCTTTTTGCCGCGTACTTTTGCCGATAATTATCGTCGCACGACGATCACGGCCGCGCTCTTTTCGCGAAGCTATCAACGAGACTATTCCCTTCGCTGGTGTACCCAATGTACCCTCTCGTGATGTACCCTTTAGCCTTTTCGGTTAGGCAGTCAATGGGCGCAACCCACTGGCGTTTTGTAGGTTTCGCAGAGTTATACACAGGTTTAATGACGTCATGAGAATGCCCTGAAGCGTCTAATAGACTCTGCTCGATGTCGTTGTGGCAACGTCTTTGACAGGTAGTTGGTTGAATAATAGTCCAAGTAGACTTTCAGGATTATCACGTCATGTGAGACAATCGATGACAGAAACTTTACAATCTTTCTAATTACATTTATAAGGCAAATGTAAATTGCGAATAGGTGAAAACGTTCAGTAGTCGACACTCTACTTGTTTTCGGTGATCTTGCGCGGATTTAAAAGAAATCGAATAAATAAATAATATAATTGATAAATAATAAATTCTCATACTTAATATTTGATAAAATCCGAGTAAGAGTGGCGAAAACTGGTAAGTGCTGCAACGAGTGGCGGCTACTCTAGGTTTCCTTCCTATCGAATTAATCATTAAACTTACATCATACAATAATGTAATATTTTTATTACTTTGATGCTATAAGAAGATAATAATGTCTAATCGTGTCAAACGTACGCGCCGAATATTTTTCCGAACCAACAACGTACGCGGTGGATCTTTTACATCAAACTGACTCTTTATCTTAGGTTATTATTATTAATTAATCCCACTAATCCATTAATTACGCACTCATTTGATGCTCTTTACGATCATGTTGCTTCTTATTTACTAAAAATTTACTAAAAGTTGTACTCAGGTCTTCCTATTACATTTTATATTATTCTGAATATATTATTTTGAGTGAATTTTGATATTTTTTTTGTGCTCCTTCGTCACTACGCGATAAATATGAATGCCATATGAATCACACATAAGGGATGCAACCTTTACAGATCGACTAGTAAAGTTGCTCCCAAATTTGTGTACCTATCTAGTGTCTATCTGCGTGGTATAACAGGTTCTACCGATTGTTAAATTAAATGGGATTCCTTAGAGACAGGGGAGGGGAGAGAGGAGTCATAGGCCAACGCGTTTCGTTTATTTTTCCTCGAAATTAATCGTAACGATTTTTTGGAGCGGATCGGGCGACCATACCGTCCGCGGGAGGGAGAGAGAGACATAACCGCCAGTGGAGACGGCAGGAATCAGCCGACGTAATCCCTTTTTTTAGATGCTGTGTGTGTTGACCGACTGAAAGCGTGAATTAGATCGGCCTCTGTTTCATTTGACGAGATTAACCGCGGAACGGGGTACGATCTTTCGAGCTCACCGAAGGTCAACGTTGGGATTGGGGATAAGTTCATTATCTGAATAGAGAGATAGAGAGAGAAAGAGGGGGAAGGGAGGATGGATGGAGAAAGAAAGAGAAAGAGGAAGGTATCTCATCACAGTCAACGGAGATATCTCATTTCTCACGTGATGCGACTATCGACTCTTTTTCCTCTTCCTAACGGTGAAATATATCTCTCTGAATTCGCAAAACTCCATCTTTCATCTCTTAGCGGCACGATTTATCGCGCGCACCAACACGCACACACAATACATGACGATTTATAAAAAATTCAGAGCTGGCTCTCGATAAGTCAATTAATCGCACATTGTGGCGACCCACGCCGCCGTTTAATGATAATCCGTCTGGCTGTAATAAATTCCATCGGGCGATGAAACGAATTTCGATGAAGTGTAAGGCGAAATGCGCACCGTTTCATCGAACCGGCCGGTTATTCGTGTACGTGCATATACATATATACATTATGTATGCAAGTGCTGTCTACTGCATGCGGCGGTGCATTGCGCATTTATAGACGCGTTCTGTCGCGATAACGGTTTCTGAAAACGCAGTGCGTCATTTATCCAATGGCGACACACGGTTCCTTAACAAAACTATTGCCGAACGAAATTTCTAGTTGCACAATTAATTGGCGCAAAACCGGCACAACAGATCTCTCTCTTTCTGTGTTGTGTCGACAAAAAAGAGCCATCTCTAATTAATAACGTTAATTACAGCGTACCTTTCTCGTCGCGTGCGAATTCGCCGACAGGCGCGCGAGCCCAGCGGGGCGACTTATTCTTTGATTGCCGGCGTTCGTTCGGCGGCCTTTGACCCTGCCGCACGGGTCTGTGTATGCCGCTCACGCGCGTGCATCGCGCACGTGTCAGCTATTATACAACGAGGGTGCAGCCATAAATTCGACGTATACCACGAAAATGCTTGGTGCCGGCGCCGAGAAAGCGTGCGTGAGGTGTGAGCGTGCGTTATATGAGCTGAGGTGAGCAGACGTGGAAGGAAGAGAGAAATGAAGTGAACATGAGACAGATAGATAGAAAGAGAAAGAAAGAGAGAGGAAGAGAGAGAGTTAGAACAAGAGAGGGAGAACAAGAGAAAGACAGAGCAAGACAGAGACGATGGACCACCGAAATATCCCTTACGCCGTATGAGGCGCACGCTTCGCGGCTACGTCGAACGTATTAAATACATGCTTGACGTCACGAGTGTTAAAGTTTGCGAAATCCCACCCTTAGGTGAGCCGGGTGTGTTTAATGGCTTTTGCGGGAGACACAGCACTATCTTGATATTGTGAGAAAACGGCGCATGCTGCACTCGACGATGCGCTGTAGAGACACGATCCACGATTCGCGAGAGTACTGCTATGTCGAGCACGCGATCGGAGAGAGCGGGAGAGAGAGAAAGAGAGCGTGGGAATCTGGCGCTATTTCTGGTGTTCGTTGGAGTCGCGTCAGCGGATCGCGTCACTCTCTGCTTTGTCTCATCGTGTGTGTCGTCTCATATCAGCGTGTCTTTTCTTTGCTCTCGATTTTTTAAGTCGTCCAACGCGATCGCGTGTCTCTTTCTTGCTCTCCATCTCCATTTCGTACTTTCTCACTCTCTCACTCTCCCTTTCCCTTCTTCCCTCTTCACCCTTCCCTCTCACTCCCTCTCTGTCCCTCACTCACGATGTACGCGCACCTATTCCGCCGTCTCGCTCCGGCGTCTTGTGCTCTTCGTCACGCAGCGTTGAGCGTCTCGACATTCCCGGCGTCGCGACGCACTGTACGCACGCACACGCACATGAGCATGTAACATCTCGCGGTCGCTCGAATCAACGCACGCGTGACACAGGGAACGACACGGATCGGAACGCGTAGCCGCATAAGTTCGCACGCGGTGATCGCGGTGCAGTGAGAGAAAGAGAGAAACAAAGAGGAAGAGAATGCGAGAGGCTCCGAGAGAGAAGACCAGGAAATCTCAACCTGTTAGACAGCAAATGCGAGATAGCGAAACGCGAGCATGGATGTGCCGGGTACGCGAAGCGTCGCGTCAAGAGGAACGAAGGCCGAGAACGAGCGTAAGACAGACCGAGACGCGATGAAAGAGAAAGAGATAGTCGGTGAGACAGATAGAAAGAGAAAGAGAGAAAGAGAAGGAGAAAAAGAAAGAGCGAGAGAGAGAGACAGAGAGAGAGAGGGAGAGAGAGACAAAGATAGTAAGAGAGAGAGAGAAAGAGGGTTATAGACAGAAAGAGACAGGAAAGAGAGACGGCGCGCCGCCGGTGTGAAGAACGAGCAATCCGATCGTTGCGTTTTCACGTGGAAAAATAGTCTTACCTGCTTCACTAGTGGGAGTAGTGTCTGTTCTATGCTACGGGTCTTAATCTCTAGGGTGGCTGGGTCTACGGGGTCGGGTGTCGCCATGATTCGAACACAACTCCGTGCTCCGTAGACTCGAGCCGAGGCGAGAGGGTTCGTTGCACCCCCTTACCCCCGCCCGCATGCCCGGCACGACTGCCACCCTCGCCCCACTACGTCGTCGTTAGCCACCGGATGCCCTTCTACCTCCGACCCAGCCAATGGTCGAGCCCGTTGAGCCGGTTGCTGATGAGGGCGACGTCGCGCGACGACGTCGACGCCGACGTAACTACTACTGCCGACGCCGGGCGTCGTGGGCCGCCGGGCGTCGCGGTGCCGCAACCCCCGGCCATCTCGTGGCTCGTTGAACAAACCGTCGCCGAGGCTGATATTAACAGCCAGTAACCTCGCGAGGCGCGAGAGGTATTTTTGTATCTGCCTTAGCTTCCTGACTCGGATCAGGGGAGAGCCCGACGCCCGAACGTCATAGAACATCAGGATGGTCGATAACGCGCCAAGTGAGCTTCGTCGAGCTTGACGTCCGTATCCATCGATGGCGGTTCAAAGGGCTGCTCGTGCGATATTGATTCGATATTGGGACTTCGCGTCACGGACGCTCCAAGAATTAACGAACCAGCATGGATTACAGTCTATCGATTGGTATATGTATACTTGAGGCCTGCTATTTTAAACTGCTGCTGCACTGGAACTTTGTTTCTTTTCGTTTCAACGCTGTCTTGTATACTTCTTTCACTAGATTACCAAAGCAGTGAAAATGACGAGTTTGAACTTTCTTGTAAAAATTGTTCAAGTTTAGGTTTATTTTAGCTTTTATATGTAATTGACGTTGCATAAAACTGAGGAGAATAAATAAACATTCTTTTCTTTTGTATTATGTGTTTTTTCAAAAATTTATAATTTTGATTTCTCTGATAGAGATAAAGCTCTTAATCGTGGCTAGTCCTAATGTTTAAGAATAAAATTCAAATATTTCAGTTAAAATGAGTGATAGTAAAACTTTATTTTAGCACACCTATCACTTTGACATATGTTGTCATGATCTCAAGTAATCTTTAAAAGACTTGGATGTGGTCCATAGTTTATTAAACTGTTTCAAAAGACTTGGATGTGGTCCATAGTTTATTAAACTGTTATTAACGAATTAAATTTCATAAGTAAGATGTTATTTCTTGATACATTTAAGATACATTTACCGTATATATTTAAGAAATTTGCATAGACGAGATGGAGTACTAAGTGTTGCAGTTTTGATTTTTGAGACAGGTAGCGTTGCAGTTTGGCAACTGTAAATCTAAATAACAGAATAAGTTGTCTTCATTCTGAAAAATGATTTTAACTTATTCATCTCACTTTTAATACGGCCTTAGCTCATTTAAACTCATTGATACGTTAATTTTAAAGATACGACACTGAGTACTGCATGCGTCCTCTTGTGAACGTGGTTAAAGGTGCGTCCGCTACAGAGTTAACCTAATATATCACTTTAATATCAGCATACGTTATCAAGAGATATACATGTACATCTTTTTCTGACATGTATATAGATTTATATTTATGCTATATTGTAATATTATATTATATATAAGATGTATAAGTTACTTTGTTATGAATACAGGTTATATTAGATCAAGTTAGGTTGAATTAGATTAGATTAAGTTTTTTGTAGGATAGAGAGAGATGTCTTCTATCCTCTATCTACTACAGACTTCTATACATAAACTAGACTGCTAATACCCGTATTTAGCGAATGGTCGGAAAAATATCGGGCGGCCATCTTTGAAAGGACTGTATCATATAGGAATAGTAATGACACGCACTATAGCATATTGCTTCCTTCCATTTACATATTGTCACTCAGGTCACGTATGTGAGGTCCTTTCAATGATGGCAGACGGTATTTTTCCGACCAAACAATCCTTAACTACACTTATTTAGCAGTTTAAATATTATATAGAAGTCTATGTTATCTACACGTATTTATTCATGTATATGTTGGACAATTATTTTTATTTATAAAATTTTTTTATTAATAATTTTTTAATAAACAATGAGCGACTACTGAAACATTTTGGGAAGTATTTAGAACCATAATCTGAACAACATATGTCAAAATCGTGGTCATCCTAGAGATATATGCTAATATGGAGTTTTATCGAATTCTGTTTGAACTTTGATTTCAGTTGGATACTTTTTTCTCAATGAAATTTCAAATGTAATCTATGGTTAAATGAGAAAAAATTGTTTTTGATTAATTGCCAGAAGTCAAGTTTTCCTATTGGACCATCGGCTGCGTCCCAAACTGAGACTAGTTGAGAAGGAAATGTTCAAAAAGTATTGAAATAATAAATATATATATATATATATATATATATATATATATATATATATATATATATATAT